CTGAGATTAATCAGTGGACCTTTCGGTTTTATATAAACACATATTGTGGTAAGTGCACTGTTTCTCTCAATATAGTATACTAATTACTATTTTAAACCAAATCAAAGAAAAAAATGTTTCTCGAAAACATAGAAAATCATGAATAAATTCAATCATCTTAAAAAAAAAAGCATTTGTTGGTGCCTAGTTGTGGCATAGCCTGTGTATACAACTGTGTGTGGTCTGAAGGTAAAACATGATTAAATGGCCTTATCATCATATGGATACTTACTAAGCAAATATCGTGCCATTGTAGCCAGCAATACAGCTCTCAACAGTTTTCTTACCAACAGCAGCAAACACAGATTCCTGTTACATTAAAATAAACAGAAACAAAATGTAAACGATTAATATTGTTTAAAATGACTTTTGCCTTACAGTAATCTTAGCATTAGAGTAACATATCAGATTATAAAACACATTACTGGAAGTGTGTGACCACACAACTGGCAGTGGGGGCAGCATACATCTCCACGATGCCATTATTAGAAAACAAATTCTTTACAGACAACAACTGTTGGGTTACATACTGAATACACTTCTAGTAGCATTTGGTGCTAGAGACATGTTGTAAAGACCATTTCCAGTTGGAGGTAACACTTAATCCATAGGCATGTTGTACAGGAAAAAATTATAGAACGTTTTAAAGTTAGCAAATATCTATTGAGATAATTTAAGCTCACCTGAGTAGTGCCTTCATCAGCCACATGGTCAAATCTGTAGGCCTTCTTTTCTGGTTTTACAGCCTGGACACACACTGTATCTGGTGGGCTCACCTCAAGACATTTGCCTTGAATCAGATCAATATCTGAAGGAGGCCTAATTCTTAGGAATACTTTTATAGAATCACCATCACTGAAACAAAAAAACAATATAGAAATAAGTATATTCTGCGTGGATATTGGTGCTATACAAATCTTTGTTGATTAACTGACAAAAAAACATAAAAACAGTGTGATTATACAATAAAAACAGGGGTGGCGCCAGGATTTACGCTACAGGGGTCCGAGTCCCCGACAGGAGACAGATGCCCAACGAGGGCTCAAATCTCCCCAACGAGAGCAAAGTGGGTGTGGTCGAACGTCGCTTAAAATGTTGTTAAATTGGTCCAGCGGGAGAAGCCCATGAAATTTTGAAAAATTAAGGGGTTTCAAGGCTTATTTAATTGATTTTAGAGTATATTTATAATATAGAAAATACATATAATTCTCTTTTTTCACCCCCGACGAATTGTGGTTTTTCTCCCTGACGGGGGCCCTGGCCCCCCTCCGACCCCCCGTTGGCGCCACCTCTGAATAAAATCATCATATCTATAAACTGCTTATGTCCATTTCTACTGCACATTGATTGTCATGACAATTCAACAATTCTAGACTGTAACTAATTTATTTACCATTTTATTAATACAGCTCACTTGCACTTTTAAGAAGGCAAGAATTATTATTTTATTTATTCATTAAAAAAAAAAGAAAAAAAAATGTTTTTATAAATTGTAACTCTTACCTCTTTCCATTGGCATCTGCAACACACATTGATTAGAGCATGAAAAAGAAGAATTATAATGTATATTCAGCACTGTTTAAAATTAAAGAAAACAAAAAACATGCATGCTGATCAATAAAAATAAATAATAAATTAGGCTAGTAGAAAAGATCAAGATTAAGAAATACAGTAGGCCTATATAGGTAGGCCTAGCATATTGCAATGGCCAATGTATATATTATACTTAGGGCCCAGGCCAGGCTTACTAATTAGTACGGAGGTGTCTTGTCTAGAAGAATAAGATAAGCCTAGGCCTTTACTAAAATACTAGCCTAAACTAAGCAGCTTAGTTTAGTCAGACCCTAATCTACCTACCTAGCTAGGCCTAGGTCTAGACTAGCGCATTAGTCGGCCTTTCTAAGGCCACTTGGTAGGCCTATAGGCCTTAGGCTAGACCTGTCCTGACCTAGCCTAGCTAGAAGATTGACTCCTCCTAAACTCTGGCTTGATGGTACAGTCACAATGGTATTGGTAACAGAATGGAGGAACTTAAATTTCTTATTTTAATTACCTGAATCGTATTTCATTCTTCTTAACTAAGAATTTTAAAACAAACTTCTAAAAAGTAATTTGAAATCTACCGCCAAGTGCAGCTGCCGCTTGTCGTCTCGACGATTTATTGCGGAAGAGCCTATAGAGGGCGCGTATATCAACATTACAACGTGCACACAAAAAAAGGCGAGAACGGTCTGTTTCGAGGTACTGTACTAGCCCAGTTTGGTGTTTTTTGTTGGTATGATTGATATGCTTTGTGTACTTCCTTGATATTCTATTATTTACGAGATTTCAAATATTATACTATAGTTTATGCCGTCTCTTCTCTATAGGCAGCCTACTACTTTAGTAAAGTAGGCTAGGCCGACCTACCACCAGGTGCCTGGTTCTGTGTGGTGGTCGTTACGTAATGAAATGTCCTGCCCATTAAGTTTTGGCAAGATAAGGAAGTGATCCAATGACTTTTACAAGCTGGTTAGTTGTCTCGTTATTCAGATTAAATTCGAATAAATAACATTTTATTCTCGGAAATAAAAATAACATTTTATTTTATGATAAGAATACCAAAATTCTAAATAAATAAATAAATAAAACAAAACAAATGCGATGTTTATGTGACTGTACGTGACTAGGCCCTAAGCATGTTCGTGCGTGCATACACAATGTATACATTATATGCATAGGTACTATGTAAATGCTTTTTAACTTACTCCTTATATTGCTTTTTATAGTTAATAGTTTATTATACGGTGGGTAGTTCACCTCTGGAGTGACTTCCTACCCGCTACCCGTAGGCTATGATATGCCAGACTGTATGGTAGGGCCTGCGCAGGAATATATCCTCAGCACAAAAATTTAATGTAGAAATCCGTCCGCACATTTCGGAAAATAAGGGCCGATTTCTGTGCAGATTTTGCCAAAAATAGGCTTTGACCTAATCTTAATATATAAACAATGTTATTATGCAGTATTTATGATTCTGCACACCTATGTTCCTAGCTACTGTATTTTTGCTCGCCAATGTGAGCTGTTTTTTGAGGTATCATCTGCACAATTAAAAAATTTTAGAGTATGGATGGTATTAAAATCTTGGTATTTAATATGATTTTTATAGTGTATTTTAATTTTTGTAACCAATTTCCTTTTGGTAATATTCCATTTATATTTGTTAAACTACACACCACTCTTTGAGTTGATTGCCACTGATGTCAATGTTGATAAAGTTAGTATACAATACAAAAACAATAATATATCACCTGATGTTATCAGTATTGTATCTAGCGCCCTCTATAATGACATTCCATTGCATAGTCATCTTTACTAAAATAGAACTAATAGGTGCTGCCAACAAGACTTGTACAATATCCTGTTTATGAAAATTAAATTAATTGGTTTGTTTATGTTCTACTGTTTCTATGCTGTAATATAACTATATTTTTCAATCACAGTTTAATCTCAGATGTTTGGAAATGTACTCCAATATTATATTTTAAAAATAATTAAGTTAATAACAATCTCCATTTAAAAGTTAATTTTTTCTAATAATTTAAAACTGCATTTCTAGAAAAAGGGGTTTCTTTGGAGTCCTTCAAAACCCCCTCCCCTTTCTGGCTTGCTATGTCATATTTACTACAATGTTACTGGAAACTAAGGTTAGTCGATGGTAACTCCATACAACATTTATTCAAAGGGCATTTAATACTGTACACTTTGATGTTACTCAAGTGAAACAGCAACACAAAGTAGGCCTACCTAATTCCCTGTTACAGTCAACTTTTTATTTCATCTCCTGTCAAATTTCATTTTATGAATTATATTTTTAGGTTATACCTGTTTTGATATAATTAAGAAGATGACAACTAATTCTTGATTGACTTTTACTGTTGTTATTTCCTTTGATGTTCAACAACTGTTAGTTCATGCCAATTCATTTGCTTTGGAACATGTTTATTTTATTTGTTAAACTATCTAGTAATTTTTATAGTGCAATAAATCTATCAAGCTTTTATTTACTATTAATTTGCACTGGATGTGGCATTATGGGTAGGGAGATAAATAATTAATATGTCGGCAACAACTCGTCAGAACAAAAAGGTAAAAATTCAAGAGAATACATTCTGAAATATCACAGAACAGCTTAAAGTTTGTCTGAAAATTGGCTTCTTGACTCCATCAGACCTGTCAGTCTGTCAAAAGTTGTAAGACCACTTTGGGTCAACTTAAAGCCCTCTTCCCTTCAAATCCACTAAGTATGTCTTTTGAATGTAATAGTCTACAAATAATTGTTTTACCATTTACAGCAGGCTTAATAATAATTATAATTATATATATGATTTATATAGTTTATAAATAACATACAGTAGTTTCTAATATAGAGACTGTATAATGATTATGGATAACAAATGAATTTAACATTCATGTGTAAATTACTCTCTTTACATACTGTATTGATTTTTTATAAATATGATAAATCTATTTAAATTGTTGGCTGTTGGGACATAATATTCTGTATTGTTAATTAAAATCCCCTAAAGACAGCCAAACACACTTTACAAAGCACAACATGTGCTTACCAGTATACCAACAATTCAATGGTTTCTTTTTACAAAAGTTGAACTCAAATTTGTAACAAATTTCTGACTTGCATTCTTGTCATTGTCATTGATACTCTGTACATCTTTTGTTAGATTTTGATTGTCACTGCGGGCTTATATTGATGCCAATTGTCCAAGTTAGGAGTGCAAACGCCATTCCTTGAGGATAATATCCAGGTCTGCGGTTTAAAAGTATCAATTATTACTGATATAGTGATGGTATTTCACACTAGTATATAACTAAGTTGATACTGCTTTTGTTTCTGTATTTTCCTCTTTTTTTTCTCAAATTCAATCTCCCTGTGGCAAATAATTTTTACTTTAGAAGCATTTGGTGCAGTTGTACAGCTTTCGTCTTTCAAGTGAAGGGTTGTTAGTTAATAATATTAATAATACAGACTATAGAAAGCCTTTTTATTTGTTTATTTCTTTCTTATTTGGCAAGTGTTGCAGTGGTGTGGGTCTGGCTATCATCTAAGAGATGAGAGAAGGCTATGATTAAAAGCAACAAAGTAATGGATTCTGAGACCTTGTACTATATATTCTTTTATTTACAAAATATCTACCTTTTTCAGTTTATGTACACTATAGACAATATTATACAAATCATATACCGTATATTCTTGGTGATAGCATTTTTGCCTTTATATATGTAGGCCTATAATAATATATACATGGGTCATTCCATGTCAAATCACCCAAAAAATCTGAAAATTTTAACCACATATTTTTTGATTTTGATGAAACTTGGTGTACTTGTTTAGTGTGATCTCACAGCATCAAATCTCAAATTTTAGGTCAATCGGTTCTCTTAAGGGGAAACTCTTTTGTCTATGATTTCCCCTTAACGTCGCTTTAGTTTCCCCTTAGCGACACTACTTTCGCCTTATGGTACTGTTTTTAACCACTTGATTGTTTCAGTTTCCCCTATGGATACTTCTAAGCTCCTATATATATATATATATATATACAGTATATATATTTATATATAGTATTATGTTTCTTTATTGTTTTCCATATACATTTATTATGTGAGTCCAGTGGCAAAGATTTTTCATTTAGTTGATCAGTCTATCAAAGAGTGCATTTTAAGAATTAATAAACATATTGGTCATTAAAAAAGAATATTAAAAATAAAAAAGATTTTTATAGTGTTCAGTCTATTGTGATTAAAGGAAATAATGATTTACATGAAAACCATAATATAATTCTCTGTATTTAATTGATAGTCTTCTGAAACTGCCGCTCCTTTTTAAACCCTAAGTTTTGTCATTAAATCTCCGCCACTTTTAGATTTTGTAAAATTTAAGACCCTTCAGACCCTTTCGAGATTTGACTAATTTCGTCCCCCATCCTTTAAAAACTTTGAAAATTGTGATTCCTGCCCCTAAAGTATACTTAGCTGGTATGTCTGTTGTGTAACAATAATAAATTATTTTAAATACATAAATATCTTTCAGATTATAATAAATTATTTCTTCCATGCAACAACAAACATTGGTGTCTCATCAACTTCATATCCTACAATAATCTCAGGGTTAAAGTTCCTGGTGGACATATTATGTAAATGTTCTTGTAGTTCTGTTTCTGTAAGGTCAATATGTACCATCCATTGGTTAGAATCAGATGTGAATATCCCTGAAAAGAACAGTTCACCATTTTCAACATAACTGTCCAAATATTGTAATCTTCGGTTTTGCAATGCATTGTCTTTTATCACCCTCGCAAGGCTGTCTCTTGATATATCACTGATCGACTTCCAATTTTTAGATTTTTGTTTTTCAAATCTATAAGTCACGTGTTTTGTTTCTTTATGTATTGTAATGCTTTGTATAACTGGAGAGTAATTTTCATTTTTGTAATAGTTGATTGTACTTGGGTTGTATTTATTCCATGCTTGATTCCACCAGGTGGCTTCCTTTCTTTGCTTCTGTGTGCTGAAGGTCCCGGAGTGTCGTATACGACCAGAATCCTCTTCACTGTTGCAGCTCACTACGAAAGACAAGTGGTATCCATCGTATGCATTACTCTGTACAAGTAAGTTAAAATCATGCTTTGTAGCGCTAACACTGACCCTGTGTTTATATTTATTATCCTGTTTGAATATGACTGTGAAAAGAGTCTTATGATTCACAACATAGGCATCCATCCAGTATGGATAATAACGGAGTCGCTGAAAAACATTTGTTACTGATTTTATTTGGTTCTCTGATATCATTGATGCAACAACTGTATCATAATGATTATTATTATCTGTCTTGATTTTGATTCCAAGATCATAAAATGATTCATCCGAATTTGGCCATGTGATGACTGATGCCAGCAATGAGTTCGAAAGTTGTTTAATGTTCTTTCTGTTGTTGCTACTCATTATAATCACCACATTAAAATCCTCTTTATCCTGGCAAAATAACTGATCACTTATTTTTGCTCCTTTCTTTGTCTTGGTGCATCTGACATGGTGAAGAATTATTTCATCATCATGGGAGTCACCCACTTCCCACCAAGCATGGCTATGGTCAGTAAAAACTCCATAACCGTGCCATCTTTCCTTCTTAGTAGTCACCAGCGACATTGGACGGTTTCTCAAGAGTGACAAGACTGTGTGGTTCACTAGTAGGCCGCTTGTTAAGCCATTGGCAAATCTAGATATGTCATAAACTGTGGAGAACCAACCAAGCGTTGAGTCCCAAAGTTTGTATAGATCTGTGGTAAAAGTAGTATCTGTAAATACATCAAGTTCTCCTTCAGCAAAATTGAGAATAGGTTTAAGAGATCCTCCAGTATGGCCACTGTAATGAGGGCCCAATCTGGTGTGGATCATTCCAAGAGGAGTCAAAATTTCCTCCTTAATGTACTCTTCATATGGCATCCCAGAGATTGCCTCTACAACCCTGCCAAGGATGCAGTATCCAAAGTTTGAGTAGTGGAATCTCATCCCTGGTGTGGATTCAAGGTCTTTCGAAAGCATAAACCTAATGATATCTTGCTGGGTCAGAATTCCATTGATACCCATTTCAATGGCAATATTTGTGACATTGTGACCACGTGCTAAGTTAACTGGATTCATCATAGGATCGTACACCAAAGGTGTCATCTGACTCCATCCACTGGTGTGTTGTAAGAGATGCTCAACAGTGATGCCAATAATTCTTTTGTCTTTGATGATTGAATCATCTGGCATTAAACTACGAAGAATTCCTGATGGTCCGAAGACTCTGTCTGTCATGTTCAGCTGATCTGCAGCATAAAGTTTCAAGATTGCTGCTGCTGTGATGGTCTTGGACAAGCTGGAAATCGGTAAGAGGTTGGTAGGTCTCATCTTGCCATGGTCACTGGTTGTGCCATAGCCTTGGGTGTATACCAAACGATTTCCTTTGGATATACCAATTGTAGCACCAGTATAATGGTTGTCTCGAAGGAAGTCAAACATCACAGAATCTAGTCCAGAAAAGTCAACATTCGATTTTTCATTGATTGCAACATCTGAAAACAAACAAAAAGGCAATAGTTAGTTAGATTGTTAATTCATTGTCAAATACATTTTTGAAAAAAAAAATATGGAATGGAATTCTGACCCAGCAAAGGCATTTTTGATGACCTCAAAATTAAATGCAAGACATAGTTTCAATGATTAACTTTGCAAAAATATGGGAAAAGTGGATTTAATGGTAATATATTTTATGTAAAGTACTTTTAAAGTATGTTTTACTTTTGGAATGGAATGAATAATTATCTTAATTGAGGAGAATGAGACATCACATTGGGAATGAGGATGGCCAAAACTAACATGGATGAGACAATTCAAAATGGATTTTCAGAATATATTGGTAGATTTAAGAGTAGATACACAGAAATTTGTACAAAGTGGTAGAATGTATGTCTGATGATGGAAGGTGTTTACATTGATGACTGGTGATCTTGTAATAAGTAAAACTTGGAACCATGAATCCACTGCTGTACACTTGCTTGGTTATCATTTTGACAAAACTTAACATAACTTGCTGCAGTTGATTAAGGAGGTGGGGATGCCCTTCACAGTCAGCTAATAGTCACAAGATAACCCCTGTGACTCTTGATTTTGGTAGGAGTCAACATTCTGACTACATGCTTTGTTTGATCAGGATGGAGTAGACTTGCAACACAGCCCTGATACTTTATAAAAGCTTAATTTCCAAATTAAGACATGTTGAAAACAACTACTTTTAAATAATCTTTTCAGACCAAGGTTAAGATTACAAAGAAGAAACTGTAGTTTCAAGATCAATATCAATTTCTTAATAAATTGGTCTTAAAATAACAGATAGCTGTTAGGCATACATGGTGTCTTTCAAATAAATCACGACCATGAATTCGATTTGACCCATTTTTCACCTTTGATAAACAGGGTAGGTAGGTCTAATTTCTCATTTGATTTATATATACGCATGACACGCGCTTACAGTTCTGTGTTCATTTCAGTGTACTTCTAAACGTCTGATCATCAAGGAAATTCTCCCCCAAGCATCATATCATTGTCGGAAAAGATTTTATACAAACATGATCATTTGTTGTATTATGTGAAGTGAGATACAAATCTGTACGTTCTGCTTGTACTTTACATATAAAGAGAAGGGTAGAGATTGGACATAAGATAATGTGTAAACAAATTAAATCCATAATAATATAATGAACGGTTAGTTTATCAATTAGTGGCTAAGAGTGCATGTCTACCATACTTGAGACGAGGTAGCTACAGTGTTTATTCGCATTCCCTCGAAATTGATTTTAGTGATATCTTTTTAATAATATTATTTAAATCAACATGTTTCATTGTACTAAGCTTTAAAATATTTTTCACTTGATGATATTGCAGGAGTTGGAAGTATTCCATGCATTCTTTATTAATATTTGTTGTAGTTCTCCAACATGCTTCTAGGTAGGTAAAAAGGCCAATGAGTACAAGTTTTGGAGATTTTTTCAAATGGTAATCAATTTGTAATTTGATTTATTATTTTTTACAAAAATAATTACAAGATGAACTATTTACTAAGCAAACATAAACAAATTACAAATACCTAAAATTGTCACTGATGCTGTTTTATGTATTATATATAAATATAATTGTTATATAAATATGATTTAAATTATATAAATATAATTTTTGTATAAATATATTTTATATATAAATATAAATTTTGTATATAAATTACATAAAGGTTTATGTTAATTTGGCTCAAAACTCATGAAAGGGGAATCACCAATTTTATCTTTAAAAAGAAACATGGATGATAATATATGTAACCAACAATGATTGTTTACAAAATATTTTGACTGAGTGCCAATCATATTGAATTATCTGCTGGTGAGAACCTGGTAGTTCATGGATTCACAGCTTGATGTGAACATTCTCAATTTGATTATAAGTATCTTGCATTCTACCTTGTCCTTGTTTTCATTAGTAATAAGTCCTAGTGTTAATAGCATGGGCTTTATTAGTTGCTCACTTGACCGTAGCAACTGCACCAACAACCATCAAAAGTAAATAACTTTGTATAAGTTGGTTTGGTGATCTTTACAAATTAGTACAAATTGGAAACATTGGTTTTTTTTACCAGCAATTATATATCAATAATATGTGTGATTGAATGCCCACCGATTCCACAGTGCAAGGGAAAGATCAGCACCAGTTGTGCGGTAGCCAAATTTATTTTAAGAATTCTTTTAAAAAGTATTTTAAAAATATAAATAGAAAGATAGAAATATAAAGAATATATTAAAAAGTTATAAAGTATGCCTAAATAATATATAAAAAAAGAAAATAATTTTAAATTTCATTATTTTTCCCTATGAGCTTTTGGTTTTCTATGGCCTACACTTAAAAAATGCCTGTATTATTCCCCACACACAATTTTGTGCCTAGAATTTAATCTGTTGACGCATTCCAAAAAAATGAAGAACAAATAAATTAGGATTTTTTTATCCAAAGAGATAGAAATGTAGATCTACATGACTCATGCATTTAGTATAGGGTGTTTATATTATTTTATTTTTAGGTCAACATTACCATAGTTCTAGATTTGTTAACAATTCAACTGTTAAATAGGTCTTACTTTTGTTGCAGAAAAATTCTAATTAAAACATGTTCTAGATATTACTATCGACAAATTATTAAAGTCAGGTCAGAATAGCAAGTTTACAGGCTGATGTTGTAAAGTGTGAGTGCTGACAGATTCAGATACAATCTATGAAGATTACTGAACAATAATTTAGTTTCAATCATTGTTAAGATTTAATTTTTACAAAGGATAAATATTTCAGAGTGTGTAAAGGATTATTGGCTATACAAGCTTTTGATTGGCAGACAATACATGACCTGTGACCTTGAGTAATGTATATGATAAGTTTTGTGCGTGATAATCGTAGATATTGTGGGTCATCTTTTAACCTTCAAACTTATATTCTGTTATCAAAATATTTTGAATTTAGGAAATAAGATTTAAAATATCAAATTTACTTTGAATACAATGTGGCATGTATTAATGTACTAATATTGAAAATATATGCAGGCCTGTAACCAAAAGTAAATTAAAAATGTTATTTACTCATCCCCAACAAACTTTCTTTGTTGCCACCTCAATAAAAAAATGTCATTGTATTTTGTAACAAGAGGCCTTTATGAATATGAGAGTAAGCGCCAGTGGCGGCGCCAGCAGGGGGAGGGATGGGGCAGCAGGGGCTTGAGCCCCCCAAACCGGACAGGTCAAGCCCCCTTCAGACAGAGCTCATCAGGCAGTTGGATTAAAAATAATATAAAAATAGGCCCATGCCAAGCCAACACACGTCCGTCACAGTCTGAGAGTGTCATTTCTGGCCATCCAGGCATTCCTGTTTTTAAAATAATCTCATTTGGGAGGGGGAATCCCCTCTTAAACCCTTCCCCCATCTGGGGCCTATGACCTCAAGTCCCCTGTTGGACAGCTCAGCTGCCCCCCCCCCCCCCCAGAAACAGAAAATATATTCTAATGCCGCCACTGGTAAGCACAGCGGATTTTAACGGGGACAAGGGACTGAGTTCTACCAATACCCTTCTTTCTTGATTTCTTGGGTTTACCATGCTCTAATTGCCTCATATTTTGGATGGGCATTAAGCTGTTAGGCTTGTGGGCAAAATCGCAATTCAATTCTATACTTATTTAAAAAGAATAGGCGATTGCCTCTTAGCCTACTGACCATTGACCATTGCAGGTGCTACACTGCTCCTGCTGTGGTTTCCCAGGGGCCCTAATTGCAATTATATAATAAAAGATACTGAAACCTATCTTCCTCTACTTTGATTTAATGTAGACCAGAGTCCAGTATTGAAGTTGATAACACCATTAACTAAAAAATAAAAAAAAGCTGACAACCATTTCCTCCTTTTTCTAAGACTTTTTTTAATTTGGCCCTATTTATATTCCTGCCACCAATTAAAATGTTAATCAATTGCAAGGATGGGAATCTTTAGATGTTGTATTTATTGGTTGATTTGTTAAATGATATTTTGCATCCCAGTAACTTTATAACAGTATTGTAAATTTAATTTGGATAGGTAAATTACTGTAACACCTTGAAGGTCCAAAGAGTTACCATACCGTAAACGTTAATTCAAAGAGTTACTAACCACTTTTTAAATATAATGGCTGTTTTGAATATCACCCTTTTGTTGAATAAGTAAACAGTTTGTTTAACTATTAACCCAGGTTATCACTAATGACCATGTTCATATCCCTCTTAGTCTAAGGTCAACTCTCCTCAAGGTGGACAATGGGGTGATGATTTGTTGACTCAATCTCTTTTACAGGGGTACACAGAGTCAAATTTCATCTTCTTTGAAGTTATACTGCTATCGTTTACAGAAAGAGTATTCGTACGTCACTCAATTATGTTGTAGCATGGTTGTAGCTAATGTTCTCTTTCATCACGGATGCATTTAACCTGTTGCTGTTAAGAGATCAAAAAATCATGAGTGACCTCAGCCAAATTTGACAACATGTGTGGATGTCGAAGCTGTCATCATTCACATAATTTATAAAATATAAAAATGCATTTAGAAACACATCTGTTACAAATTTATTACCATATATTCATGTGTGTCAATGTCATTGTATTTTTTGTTTAAACATTTTGACTAATAAATCAGTAATTGTATTTGACTATTAATGCATATGATTTGCAATTCAACGAACAGAAAATGTATAAAGCAGTTAGTCTAGAACAATTTTACTGTTTTCTTGAACATAAAAAATATTCACAATCAAAACTAAAGGTACTAATCGTCTTAGTTTGAAAGTTATATAATATGTGAAGCTACATTTTCCACTTTTTATTGGCGATTTTATTTCCTGGTGTATTTTTTTTTTAGACATTAGACATATCAATGTTTTCCAGTGTATCTACAGGTAAGCATGTAAAATGTCTTATTTTGAAAGTCATCTAATGTCGAAGTTCACCGTGGAGCTAAATAA